TAGACTGGCCTGGCATCACTATCGATGTTCAAGGCATGGCAAATGATGTCTGGGCTGATCCCAACCATATCGGCATGCGTCCATGCAAACACATAGATATTTTCTCTGAAGAAACTGGTCAGGTCATTAACGAGTTAGGGGTTGAGATTGCTTCTAATCCTCAACACTTGGCTCGGCTCGTTCTAGTCGACTGACATATCCGATAGATCCTCAACTGGCCTATTGGAAGGGCATTCCTAGATACGAGGATTCATATTATCCTTGGCTGGGCCAGGCTGTGGTTCGATCCGACTGATCACCATTTCCTATTTGGGAATGCCACACAAGACCCATTTCCCCTTGCATACCATCTGTACTGCCCTTACATAGCAATCGCGAGATACGCGCTGAGATCCACTTACTTCCCCTATCCCTGTCGGGGTGGGAAACTTCATCTTGAGATGGTAGATCGAAATGACTGCCTTGAAGTTCTTAATAGAGGTCGCCCTAGGATGCCATTAAAAGCAGAGGGCAGTCCACTAACAAGAATTCAGTGACCCTGGTCACCTCGTCGGAGTCACCCAGTGTGACTGGAAGTGAGATCGTTCCCTTGGGGATCAAGTGATCCCCCGTAAAACCATATAGGGGGATAGAGGCAGGCTTCAGGTCGGCCTCATCCAATTTCATTCTTTCGAAAGCTCGCTAGAACAGGATGTTCACAGCGCTTCCGTTATCCACCAATATTCTATGGACGTCGCAGCGCCCTATTTGGGGTGTGATGATGAGAGCATCATCATGGGGATGATGCAATCAGACTGCGTCTTTTTTGGAGAAAGTGATTTCCTCCTCCCTGTGAACCTTTGATGGTCACTGGGTCGTGTTCATCACACGGATAGGGTCGTGATGGGCTGCGCGAGTATATCTTTCTTGGGCACCTCGCGAGTTTCCCTCGAGGTGTGGTCACCCAAAGATTATCCCCATGCTATAGATACCCTTGAGATCACGATGCTTCTTGCCCGGTTTCTCTCGATTTTTCTCCCTTACGGGAGCAAAGTCATCAACATACTCTTTGAAATGCCCCTACTTGATAAGGTCTTGAATTGCCTGATTGAGAGATCGGTACTCATCGGTGTGATGCCCATTGTCCCGATGATAACGATAGTACTTTTTACTGTTTCTAGCTGAGGGGGGATTTTTCATGAGCTCAGGTTCTCCGAGCAGGCCGGCCTCTTTTGACTTGTCAAGAATGGCCAAGACAGATGCATTCAAATGGGTATATTGATTCCTGTCACAATCGCGATGAGGAACTGGAGCATAAGACTTCTTGGGCTCAAGCCGTTATTTATTTCCTTTTCGCTGATCATCGTTAGCCTATCAGCGATCAGCCCTCCTATTTCCCCCCCGACCTGGCGTACTGCCCAAAATACCAGGGTCGTGGTGGTTGAATGCTGCCACAGAGTACTCAATACGAAGGTATTTCTCCATAAGGTTATGAAAGCGGGTGAGAGAAACATCGTCCTCTGATTGCAGCTCCTTCCACAGATATGTCTGTGGACAAACTCTCGCAATGATGAGAGTCCGAACAGACTTTTCGGGAGTGCGAGCTACATTATGGAGCTCTCTGTGGAATCTGTCGATGTAAGATTGGAGGGATTCATCCCTCTCTTGCCTTATGTTGCTGAGGTAGCTCAAAGGCATTGAGAACTTCTTGTTCGCTTGGAAGTGTCTTAGGAATGTTGAGCTCATCTGATTCCACGAGTTGATTGATCCCATCAGGAGCGACCTGAATCATCGCTTGGCATGAGATGTAAGAGTCACTACCAAGCATCAGCATTTTTCCAAGTCAGAAACTTGGTGAAGTTTCATCAAGTCGTTGAATTCGTACAAATGATCATGCGGATCAGAATTCCCATCGAACGCCCGCATATCGGGCATTCTAAATCTGGATAGGAGAGGGGCGACTAACATAGCCGGAGAAAAGGGAGACGCCTTTGCGACCTGCCCTCACTCATTTTGCTGAGCCTTTAGCTGATCCAGAGCTCGCTGTAACTCTTAAATATGAGGCAACGAAGCCATCTGGGGATTACTATCCCTAACGTGGGTTCGACCCTTGCAGTTGCAGTGAGGAAAGTCCGAAGGTCGGATTCCTCCTTGCCTCAGCTGGCAGCTCTAGCCGCTCTTGACACACATTGACTAGAGTCGTGTGATGGCGCTGAATGGTCTGGGGAACCTTCCCGACCTCTGCGGTGGTGCGAACTAACCTGCGGACTGTGGGAACTTCCCACGCGACGACGATCGGAGTCGTCATTTTGGCGATAATGGGAATCTTTCTGCCTTGCACTTTAATGGGAGTGCTCGCACGACGTGGCACGAGACAACTCAGGCCGCGACATGTCACCTAGTCTCCAAGTCACAAGTATTCTACCTGGGGTGTGGTCGGTGTTCGCCGGTCCCTCAGAGCCTCTAGGCCAGTTGTTTGCCACCTGCTTTCCCTTTCTTTGATGCGCTGCAGTGCGTGCGACACGGGCTATCGCACTTTTCCATTCTTTCATACGACCTGCATGCGTTTTTGGCGATGGCACCGCCTCATTTGGTTCGGGTGGCGTGACCCCGATCCAAACATTCTAGCCTTTGGTTAACCGTTTGGAGAGTATTGTTGAACCTCTCCAGGTAGCTCATGACGGCTAAATCAAGTCATGAGCTCAAAGTGATATCCCCCACGAGATTTTGCGGGACTAGAGGCACTTCAAAAGAAATGTCCTCTTGTACTTGGGGGATCTCTTCCTCACCATGATTGGTTCGCTCAGGTTCGAATCGGCGAGCCATTTGCTATTATAGAACCGATTAGTCAGAGAATCTCCTGATGAAGGACGAATATTAAATCAGACCCTCCTTCTAGCGCCAAACTATTAATGCGTGATTTTGACACCAACTAAACGCATGTGGAAAATGCTGAGCTGACTCAGATGACACACGTATACGAGGGTATTAAATTGAATAGAAGATGAAGAACATTCTTTAAAGTAGTTCGGATGCTTAAATAAGCGAATCCTACATCCACTGGTATCATATTAATATATGAAATTAGGTCGCGTTCAGCGAGCTGATTTACAAGAGATTACAAGAGAGAGAGAGAGAGAGAGAGGGAGAGAGTATATATGTTATTCTAGAGAGAAATTAGCCAATCCCACAAACGTGAGAGGAACCCTCTATTTATAGTGGGATGAATTGAGGTAATGATTACTAAATCAAGGAGTGGGTCAGATTGCTGTACAAATCCTTCCTTGCGTCCCGTTATTCACCTGCTCAAGTGATTTACTCGACTCTTGCAGGGATTGGACACGTGGATTTCCTCCAACCTTTCACCAACCTGACACACACCTACTGCACTGGCAGGAGCATGCCGCTTGTGTCAGCGTGTGACGTGGCTGCGTCTGAATGGTTGTTGGACTTACCTAAGCTCTGACCACTTATGCTGATAGGGCTCTACGTCAGCCCTACTTTTCCAGGCATAGCAAATATTTTACATCTTAACCCAATTCAATTAATCAGAGAATAAATATATAGAGGAGAAATTACTCAATCAAAGTTAAGTAATTTTGTATGATATTTAGATATTAATCGGAGAAAGAGAGGAAAAATAATAAAACGATGGAGCAGCGAAACATGGAAGTAGCTTCTGGAGGCGGTGGTGCATCGTCTTCTGGTGTTGGATCATCTAGCGATGGATATTCAGATGGCGGAGGATCTTCATATACGACATATCGAGAAATTAAGAGTGACTTACTAGGGAGTTTTGGAAGTAGTTTGATGATATCACTAGAAATTAAAGGAACATTTTATCAAACACTTTGAGACAGAACTTGTATCCAATCACAAAGAATAGAGGCTCATTATATTATAAATTACCCTTATTTAATTCATGCATACATGCACAGATGGATCACAAGTTTTTAGGGTTTTTTCCCAGCTGGGAGAGAGTGATATGTGGTAGCTGAATATTCAAAATTCTGGGTAAGCTACTGTTTTCAGAAATGGAGAACGTAACAATGTCTGATTGAATGATGAGAGAGGACGACAAGAGGCAGGCAGCTAAGCAATTAAAACAGACTCCAAGCCAATTTGTCTAAAGTCTATGCATGCCATGCAACCAAACAAAATAAATTTTACTGTATCTTGATCAGACATCACTCAACTTAATTTATTACTTTTAACAACTTTATCTCAGGAGAAGAGTCTGATAAATTCTCGAAAGTAAATGATTAATTAAAGTGTAAAATCATTTGATTGATGTTCCAAACACTATATTTTCTGGCCTTCATTAACCGATCGAGCTAGCTGGATCCTCCTCTGCGATTGCTTTTAACATCTCCAAGAGTTTCTTGTTGTCCCTTAAGATATGTTCTGCTGCTTCTGCATCTAACATTGTTTTCATTTTCTGCAGCCGCTTCACATCCAGTTTTCCTTCCAGAGCTTCAAGTATCTGCTTGGAATATAATGCAATCAAAAGAGTTATAAGCCGGTGTTCAATTCATAAAAATTAATTGAGAGCTAAAAGTAATTATTTAGCACTTGGTTTAAGTACCTGGCTCATCTGCGGCCGATCCCTTGCTGGATAACATACACAGGCAGCAGCACAATGAACCATCCGAAACATTTCGCTCCTGTCGAATTTCCCTAACTTTGGATCGGTATAAACAACGTTTATGTTGTTGTCTTTCACAGCTTCTGTGAGCATCGATTTTGCCTAAAATTCATAAAAGTCCGTGTTATATTTACTCTGCAAACAATGCAAAATTCACTCCACTCTTGCACCCGTAATTACCAATGCAGAAACTAAATTAATATCAATCAAATTATTTGCACACAAAACTGCAAGTGGGGTAACTTTCTATCACACGATTGCTAACAGACTGGAGCTATTGAGACAGAATATGCACCTTGACAGCCAAGTTTTCAGCATCAGAGGGCTGAATTTTATTCAAAGGTAGACATCCAGTAATCAACTCCAGAAGCAGCATTCAAAAGGCGTAGACATCTGCCTTCTCATTTAACTTCCCGGTGGTGAAAAAATCTAGATCTATGTAACTGCATTGGGAGAAAATCCATCATTAGAAGTTACAGAGGATTGTTCAAGACAATATAATAGGTATAAGTTATGAAAAACAGAAAACAGTTTTGCGAATATGACATATAAAGCAGTGTATTTTACCCTGTAGTGCCAGCAGGTTCAGTGCTGATATGAGTTTTATCTGCTAAAATGGACCTAGCAAGTCCGAAACCTGCCACCTGAGGAAAAACATGCAACTCAATTCATTCATCATATATAGAAGCCAACATAAAAAGCACACAGATGTTTAGCACTGAAATGAAAATAATTTCGATCTTTATCTGCAGTCTGAAATAACCATTACTTTATAAAAAGGCAGTGCAAACATATTCAAGCAGTAGGCTGTACATATCATACCTTGGCTTCCCATTTTTCATCCAAAATAATGTTAGCTTACTTGATATCACGATGCACGATCCTCGGCTTACCAGCTGCTGAGGATATATACATTTACATCAATACCATTTGAAATTTCAAAACAATATCTTATATCTTAAAATTTGCTTAAATTCAAGAAAGCAGTACTATCAAAAGAATACTCACAGCCATCATGCAGATGAACCAATCCTTTTGCTTTGCCTACCGCAATATTGAATCTTTTTTCCAGTCCAAAATTTCTTTATCATTCTCTGAAATGTTATCATAATCTGATGAGACAACAGTATCATAGTAAAATGCAAAAATTCTGTGACACTTTCTAAATCCACATTAATAAATCATGTAATTCCCATATAATATAAACGATTATTATTCAGAAGCAAATGAATTCAGAAATGTTAATCACCAATTTCTCTAATTTCAAATTTTTAACCATCAGTGAGATCTAATCACAGAAATGACAAACCATGTAAATGGAAGTGCAAGCTTTTGTACGAAATGAGCTCATATACAAGCAGTCTCTGAGTCTCCAAAATGTAGTATCCAACAAGATGTGCAAGATGTTTGTGGTGGATACCGCTAATGATTTCTATCTCTTTCACAAATTCTTGCTCCCTCAGTTGCTGTTGAGCTATTTGCTGTTTCATAGCAACAATTCTCCCATCTCGAAAGACTCCTTTATAGACAATGCCAAAACCACCTTCACCAAGTACTTTGTCTATGGAGAAATTATTTGTAGCAACCTTTAGTTCATCATCGGCATTGCATGGTCAGAGGGTGGTGGATGTCGTGGAATTCCAGCTGAAGATCCATCTAGAGAGAGAGAAAAAAAATCATGAGATGCATGTTCATATATATGGAATCCAAATATGAACACTTACTTGCTGCAGGAATCTGATCTTGTTGCTGGTCCTGTTGAGTGTCACCTAGAAAAATTAAAAAAGAGTACTTAAACTGAGTGCATAGGTGAAGTTTCTCATAAGCTCACAAGTTCATGCCTGGGACTTAAAACTTTCAAATGTTTTTATGTAAAATTGATAGTGGGTGGTGAATGTTGTGTAATTCCAATAGAAGATCCATCAAGACAAGAAAAAAATAAAAATAAAAATCAGGAGATGCCTGTTCACGTATATGGAATCCAAATATGAGCACTTACTTGCTGCTGGAAACTGTTCTTGTTGCAGATCTTGCTGAGTGTCACCTAGAGAGATTAAAAAATAGTCTTTAAACTGAGTTCATAAGTGAAGTTTAAACTAAAACAAAACAAAATAAAAGAAATAATCAGGAGATGCCCATTCATATATATGGAACCAAACATGAACACTTGCTGCTTGCAAAATATGTTTTTGTTGCTGATCGTGCTTAATCACCTAGAGAGAATAATAAAGAGTATTTAAACTAAGTTCATAAGTGAAGTTTCTCATAAAATCACAAGTTTGTGTCTGGGACTTAAAACTTTCAAATGTTTTTATGTAGAATTGTTAGTGGGTGGTGGATGTTGTGTAATTCCAGCAGAAAATCCATCAAAAAATTTAATAATTAAAAAAAATAATCAGGCAATGCCCTTTCATATATATGGAATCCAAATATCAACATTTACTTGCTGCTGCAAAATGTTCTTATGGCTGATCGTGCTGTGTGCCACCTACAGAGATTAAAAAAGTGTGTTCAAACTGAGTTCATAAGTGAAGTTTAAACAAAACAAAACAAAAGAAATAATCAGGAGATGCCCATTCATATATGGAATCCAAATATGAACACTTACTTGCAGCTTGTAGAGTTTTTGTTGCCAATCTTGCTGAGTGTCACCTAGAGAGGTTAACAAAAAGTATTTAAACAGTTCATAAGTGAAGTTTCTCATAAGCTCACAAGTTCGTGTCTAGTGTCACAGGTTGGGAGTTTATCACCCAAAAGGCTAACCTATTAGGTGGAGGGACTCCCCCTTTATAAACCCAAGACCCCCCATTTCCCTTCCGATGTGGGATATGTGACATTCTTCCCCACCCAATCTTGTGACGCCCTCATCACAGGTGGAGCCCCCTACCTACCAGTCCACCTTATGCTTGAGTGGACCCATAATCACACATGGACGCTCCTCAGTGTGGACACTTGGTGGGACACCAAAAGACAGATTGGGGTCAACTTTGACACCACTTGTCATGGGCTAAGAGTTTCACACCCAAAAGGCTAAACTGTTAGGTGGAGGGACTCTCCCCTTGTAAACCCAAGACCCTCCATTTCCCTTTCGATGTGGGATATGTGACACTAGGACATAAAACTTTCAAATGTTTTTATGTAAAATTGTTATAATTGATTCACTTATGCTTGCTTTAGGTACATAATGACATGAAACTCAAAAGTTAACTCTCGATATATTTAAAGAATTTAATCATTATATATATGCTGATAGCAGTTACAACTAGGGGTGAAAATCGAGCCGAACCGCTCGGGAGCAGCTCAAGCTTGGCTCGAAGATGGCTTGAACTCGGCTCGACATTAGTTGAGTCGAGTTCGAGTCCAAGTAGCCATTTGAGTTTGAGTTCGATCATAGTAGAACTCAAACTCAAACTCGATTAAAACTCGAATATTCGAATTCAATTGAAGCTCATATTCTCGAACTCGAATAAAACTCGATTATACGAACTCAAATGCCAATTTCAAGTACCAAGTTCAAGTTCGAACTCGATTTCTCAGGCTTGATTTGGCTCAAGCTTGAACTCAAATTTGGTACTGTAGAGCTCAAGTCGAGTTCGATTAACCACATACTCGGTTCGACTAGACTCAATTTCACCACTAGGTCGCTTACAACCAATTTGCCTTGCCTAATTAAGTTAAGAGCCTCCCGCTCAAAGTTAAACAACATACTTGTGACCACATCTAGAGTGGCTTGCACATCTTGTTGTGTCAAAGCAAACACACAGGCTTGAGCTTAAGGTCGTCCTCATCCCCTCTGTCAGCCACTTCTAGAGTGGCTCGCGTTCTTCCACTAACATGTTTCCTTGAGTTAACCTAATGAACTCTCTCCTCTTAGCATCTTGGTAAAATAGAGAGTAATAATGGTCGAAAAATTCTTGGCAAAAATTCGCCCAAGTGATTGTCGTAGAATCCCTATACTTATGTTGTACCGACTTCTACCAATGGTGGTATGCTCTACCATCTAGTAGGAACGTAGCAAATCGAAGTTTCTGAGCCCCATTCCATTATATTGCATCAAACACCTATTCAATCCTATCCATCCAAGACTTCGCAACCATGGGATCTCCAATCCCATCAAATTTGGTTGCCCCCAACTTCATTGCTCTCTCTATGGTTTTTTCACTTGTTCAATGCCTTGACGTTTGATCTTGAGCCACTCTCGTAGGCAACTGATCTAACCTATCAATTGTCTACTCCAAGTTAATCCTATCACTTTGGGGCTCCAAATTGAGTTCAACGACTAGTTCTACCCCTACATTATGATCATGGGTATCTAGCTACATATATGGTCCCTGAGGTTCTGACATGTGGGTAACCGACTCTTCTACTACTTCCTCTCTAGGCTCACTCACCCTCGTGTACTTGAGGAACTAACAATTCCCTCACATACTCATGTGAGGTTGGCCACGTCAACTCGTTCTGATATCTACAAAATGTAAACAATTTTTTCTTATCTATAAAATGCAAAGAAAATTTTCTTTTCTACAAAGTGTACACAAATTTTTCTTTCTTAAAAACAACACTTAATGCCAGCAATTAACTTTCTTTCTTTAAGAAAAAACTGCATGCATTATGAAAATGCCTTGAAAATAAAAAACCTGGCTCTGATAGCAAGTTGACATGACCCATCCTGGCCCTTCTTATCCTATGGAATCTAGGCGCTTCTGTGAGACTCAGGTGACCGAGACGTGCCACGTGAAAATTTGTAAAACTTGCAAAATCTGTTTTCTGAATACACTTTCCATAAAACCATTCTCTTATTTTCATCATGAAACATATGCACATAATATATATATTTGAAAATTTTAAAAAACATAACCCAGAAGTTTTGTAAAATTCGAAACATTCGGTATCAGGCCTCATATGACACAAAACAAGAAATGAAGCATACGCATAATGTAAAAACATGAGTTGTCAAAGAAAACATACAATGTGTGAAAATCAGAAGAACTTTCTTCATATTGATTGTGAACAAAATACAACAATATATACACACTCAACAGTCCATATAAGGAAATGAAATAATCTAAACTAGGACAGGGTTGATCTAATTTCCTATTCTAGAGATCCTATTCCTAAAACATATGATCCTATTCCTAAAACATTTGATTTGTACAACTCAACAGATTTGTACAACTCGACACAATGCATCAATAATACACTTCTAAATCCATGTTTGCAACTCTCCTACACTTCCACATTTGCCAACCATTACACAGATATTCATTCCCCACAAGTCAACATCAATATTATACTCATGCAAAGCACACCCAATTTACAAAACACATTCAAGATCCCTTCCATGATATAAGCTACTCAAAACATAGAAATTATGCATTCCCTTTTCTAGGTTTCCTCTCCCACAACAAGCATATAAGTAAACAATCACATTACAGGGGTTACATTGGTTGTCCACTAGTATATCATAACTAAATGCATAAACCGTATTTGATCAAAGCAAAATTAAAGCAACCAAAGTAACAAAACCAGATATAAATCAAGGTCAAGCAACTCTGGTTTTTCTTATTAAAGCAGGAGATACTTCTATGGCACCACTCATATGGTTCTCAAGTACTTCTGATTTTAGCTAAAATTAATAAATAAATTGTTGTAGCAAAGCTTTCATTCCACAAACTACACTTAAAAAAGCAAAAGAAGGAATCTGAAAAAACCCAATAATTGAAGAAATAAATAATCCATTGATACAAACCCGCCAACTGTAATTGTCTGAAAATATCGAGCAAACTTGAAAATGACGATCCAACTCATACCGTAGACTCAATATATACTAAAACCCTAAAATAGAATATAAATGAAATATTTCAAAATTCAGTAGCTTCTAAACCATAACCTAAAATGAACTCAACAAACCAAAAACCTATAACCAAAACGATATTTAGTAAATTATATAGAAATTTAAAAGTCTTCAATGACCATTAAATAATCTCCATCCAATTATATAGCAGTTCTTATATGAACAACTAGATTGTGTATCATATAATGAAGGGAAAAATACTTTTGGGCCCTTGTGGAGGATGATTTGGAGCTGAAAACTTCTGCGTTCTCCTTTTGTTGAAAGAGCAAAAAATGTCCACAGCAACTAACACAATTCTGGCCTGCCTGAGTAGATCTGTTCTTTGGAGTTCCCATTGCTGGCGATGTAGTGTTAGTCGTGGAGGCGCAGAAACAGTGCAGCTGACAAAAGGAGACGGTAGCAGGTAGGAAACTGTGCCTATGGTAGAGGTGGCAGAGATGGCCAGAAGAAATCACATGTAAATTCTTTTAATTTATGAACACGAGGTTAATAATCGACTATTTTAGTGCTCATGTTGAATTTGTTGAAATGAAGACGAAGCTTGTGAAGATAATGCGATAATGCGTTTACTTGTGGGTGAAAAAGGTAACAAGAATATTGGGTTGGGCTTCCCGTCTGCCCCAATGGCAACTAGGTTACTGTCCAACTAATTTGCTGAATATTTTAGGTTGTGCTTGGTAGAGTATTTAGAGTAGTATTTTTGAAAAAGTTGATTTGGGTTGTTATTACGAGAATAAGATTTGAATTTGAAAATATGTTTGGTAAATTTTTGGAAAACATTTTCTAAAAATATTTAGATTAATATTTAATCCCCTATATTTGATAATTTAACTAAACACCTCCATTTGGCAAGAAAATGCCAAATTGGCGCACGCTTGCCACATCTAGCTATGCACCATTCTGGCATATTCCAGCCACCTTTCGGCAGTGGTGGCCAACTATCAGGATTATGTGGGTGGGTGGGGGTGTTTTTGTCAATTTATAAATTTTTATTGTTGGGGTTATTTAGTTAAGTTAACAAACTTGGAGGTTTTAAAAAATCTAAATATTTTGAGTTGAATAGAATAGGATTGGATTTTGAGAATATTGAAACAAATATGTATTTTTGGTAGGATTGGATAGGATAGGATTAGGAATATTGAAACAAACACAGCCTTACATCTTAACCCAATTCAATTAATTAGAGATAATTTGTTTGGTATGATGAAAAAGTTAAATGTTAATGTTTCTGCATTATCTTGACAACTAAGTCAACAATTGTTACAGTTGCAGGCTTAGTCATAAAATTCTAGATCTGATGGTGATCATTTTGTCAATCGTTCTTGAGATTCTTCAACTATAGGTGCAAGGGGTTCTCGTATTTTTCACCTTGAGATGCCCCGCTCCGATGGCACAAATCCAACTAGATGGATATTTAAAGTAGAGCAGTTTTTCAATTATCATGACACATCGGCAGCATAGCGGTTACAAGCTGCTTCTTTTCACTTAGATGGTCTAGCACTTTCTTAGTATCGTTGGATGCTTTCCAATGGTCAGATTCGCTCCTAGACCTCCTTCCTGTAAGCGTTAACTGTTTGTTTTGGCCCTTCATATTTTGTTGATTATCAAGGGCAACTTGTGAAATTGACTTAGAGTGGCTCGATTGAAGCCTATTAGACGGAATTTGAAAATCTTTCAAATAAGGTTTCCGGACTTTCTGATAATTTTCTCTTAAGTTGTGGTAGCGTGTCGTCAACACTACAAAATTAATGTACCTTACTCCTAATTATTAACTAGTAGATAGCGTGAGTAAGGTCAACCCCATAGGAAAGTAGTTGAATATAAATTCCAACTGTTTAAAATTAAATCCTAGATAACCAAATTGACCTAAATAACCAAAATATAAACTGGGGGGGTTTGTAAATCAAGGAAACTAATTAATTACCAAAAAAATTTATGAATGAAAATCAATATAA